TTTCCACCGGATTTCGCGAAATTCCAAATTCCGCCAGTACCCGAAACGGAAGGGCCTGTCGGAATCGTAAACCCTGAGACACACACTCTTTGAAGTTTTCTTTTTTTCGAAGAAACACGCGCTTTGAATTTTGAAGTACACGTGTGTCACGCCCCGAACTAGTACCGATCGGAACTAGCCCGTGACGCTCCAAATTAACCTGTTAATCGATACCAGTCCCAGGAAACAGTGCTGGTATCACAGGAAGACAGATTATCACAGCAACAGAGGTCTCTTTATTATAGAGTAGAGGTACAGCCATGTTGGGCTGCGGACAGATCCCGAGCTCACAACTGCATTACAAAAGGGAAGCGGAAGCCAGGACTTGGACCAAACAACACAGGCGCGACTTGGGAACTAGGCCGAAACCCTAAAACTCATCGTAGCCGGCTTGCTCCTGGAAGAACTCCTCATCAGCAGGATCCGCTTCATCTTCTTCAGCAACTGGGGAGATTATTTATATAGAGCAAGGGTGAGTACGGAAGTACTCAGCAAGCCATGGGAAATAAGTGTTTAACGCAGGCTTCAAAGAAAAGGGCTGTTGTTTTTTTTTGCAAGTGATTTTATTTGAACTCTTTTCTGTAAACAATTAAGTGAGTGCTTCTCAAACGACACGGATGAGACAGTGCGTCTCGTCCGGTCGGAGTATGTGCAATGTATCAGTCTTTTTGAATTGATTCAAGGTTGGCACCCGGCCAATAGCTTTCAAACGGCCACCCGGGCCAACAACTTTCAAACGGCCACCCGGGCCTGCTGATCCCATCAGCTGCAGATTTTTCAAACATCGAACCCCTTTCCACAACAGCAATTTCACAAGCAGTAGTCAAACAAAACTACGCTAGGAATCACCTCACATCCGCCCATGACCGTGGGCACGGCTGTTCGAACAGTTTGTTAACCTCTACAGAGGGGGTACACTTTACCCACACGACATTACTAACCCGGATCACCCAGCCCGTGGGGATCAGCCACGTCGGGAGACCTCCAAGCTTTCATGACAAGGCATTTCCAAAGCCGACACAGGTTTACCATATGCCGACGAGAGGGGTCCCAGACCGACAACAGGTTAGGTCCCAGACCATACTGTGCCAGGAAGCCCAGGGGTCCTCCCCGACACCACCCCGACGAATCCACATGTCTCTCGGCATCAAGGCTCCCCTGATAAGCTAGTTACTCAGCCAGGGGTGTCCCATTCCACCCATGTGGTCGTACTTGTCTTATGTTCGGATGAAATTCCAAGGAAACGGTCCTTAGGTACAAGAGCGGGAAACCGTACACCCAGTACATTCCCCGGTCCGCGGTTTTGGAAATTCATTTAGTTCGCAAGCACCGACCCAGGTGTCGGGTTTTCCAAGTCTTTTGTAAAACCCAAGTTTTACCCAAGAAGTTACTCAGATTTTAAGTTTGAAGGCGACCGTCGGTACTCGCACAGAGTGCACGAATATCGAGGCGCAACTAGATGGTTACAAGGGAACATGGTATAACAATTAACAAAGGAAGGATCAGATGCAACAAACTAGGTAGGTCCGCCAATCTGCCTTGCAGACGGGACAAACAGATTAAGTGCGATCCTATCAATGCATAATATTTTTCAAGCAACATAATTAAGTTCAAATATAGGCTCAAGATGTTCAAAGGTGGCTTGCCTTGCTCGAGATCTTGAGCTTGATCCTCGAAATCCTCGCACTGCGGGTCTTCGGGCTCCGAAACTACACGCGAAACGGGAAAACTCAACAAACGGCGAAAATAAAGCCCTATTAATGACCTCTAAGCGTGCCATTAGATAGATCTCGAGATTTGAGGAATTTTGGAAGTTGAACGGAGTCAAACGGATTTATGGTTGGGAAGATATTGAATTTCTAAGATTATTGGATTTTTGGTCTAAAGGAAAAGGATTTAATTAAATCCTTTTTGGAAAAGAAAAAAAAAGAAAAGAAAAGAGGGAGGGAAAATAGACTTTCCTCGGGCGGCTAGGGCGCGGCCCGAGAGAAAAGGGGCGGCTCGGTCGAGCTAAATGGGCCAGCCGGCCCAAGGCGGTCCAAGGCACACGCGCGCGGGAGGCAAGGAGAGAGAGAGCCGGTGGACCGGGCTCACCTTGCGTGGTCCTTGGTGGGACCCGCTTGTCGGTGACACGGTTCACCGTGCGGAGCGAGCACGCGGCGCACGCGCGCGGGCGGGGGAGGGACGCGGTGCACGCGCGCGGTTCGCGGTGGACGTGGATGCGGCGGGCCCACGCGCAGCCTCACGGCTCGCGGTGGAACGCACGCACGGGGAGGGGCTGACTGGGGTCGGCTCAACCCGGTCTTGGCCGAGCTGGCGCCGACGTGGCGCCTACGTGGCTGCCACGCGGGCCGGCGGGAGGTAGACGACGACGCCGGCCGGAACGGACGGCGGACGACAGCGGCGAGCGGCGGAGCGAACCACAGCGATACAGGCGAAAGCGAGCACACCGAGTGGTTGCACAGGACGAGGGGAGACGAGCCAACGGCTCGGATTCGCCGGAGGGAGCTTGACGGCGGCGAATTGCGGCGGCGGCAACCGGCGGCGGGAGAAGGGGGAAACGGCGACGAGGTCACGAGGGGCCGATTCCCGGCGGCGAGAGCATCTACGCGGCTATGGGAATCCGATGCTAGCGTTGGATTGGGCGGAGCTGCGCCGAGCGAGGCCGGCGACGAGCGGCGCTTCCGAGCTCGGGCGGCGATGGCGGCGAGCACACGGCGAGCGGCGGCAACGGTTGGGGCGGCGCCGGCTAGCTACGGGGAGGCTACTCGTGCTACTACCCGAGTCTAAGGGGAGGAGATGGAGCGAGGAGGGAGAACGGGGAGATGCACTACCGTGCGGGTGGGCGCAGTGACGAGAGGCCGACGGCGCGGGAGTAATCTCTCCGGCCTCGGGCCGGGGAAGAGGAAGGAGAGGGCGCGCCCAGAGTCCCCTTCCGCGTCCTTGCTCGTGCCGGCTCCTCCGACACGCGCAACGACGAACGGCGACGGCGAACAGAGCACGGGAGGCGGCGGCAATGGCGTGGAGGCGAATGGGAGAGGAAAGGAAAGGGGGAAGCTTGGGTTTATAGGATGGCAATGTCGGTTTGGGAACCGACCTAAGGCGGTCAAAGGAGAGGGCTAGCGCTCGGCGGTCGCGGCCAAAGCGGCGACAGGGAGGAGGGAGGAGGATGACGCCGGCGGGAGGAAAAAGGGGAAAAGAGGGAGAGAAAAGGGGGCTTGTCCCTTGCCTCTTTGGGAAAAGGAGGAAGGAGCGGGGGCGACGCGGCAGAGGGAGGAGGAGCTCTGCCTCCGCCCCTTGGAGGCTAGCGCGCGGAGTGGCGGGGCCGAGGCGATGACGACGGCGATGATGGCGGGGCGGTTTGGAGCGGCGCGACAACACGGGTGGCAGGCGCGGGCAGGCGCGGCAGAGGCTGACGGCGGCAGCGACCAGGCGGTCGGCCACCACGGCACGCGCGCGCGGGAAGCAACGGGCGGCGCGGCGGTTTGAGCGGCGCGGCTCGGGCAGGCGCGGCAGGCTCGCGGGGCCGAGCGGCTGCGCGGCAGGGCAGCGGGGCCGGGCGGCGCAGACGGCGCAGGCGCGGCACGGGCGGCGACCACGCGGCTCTCGCGCACGCGCGGGCAGAGCGAGGGAGGGGCGCTCGGCGCGGCTCTCGCGCACGCGCGCGCGGCGCGCGGGCAGAGCGGAGGTAGGGAGGGAGAGAGAGAGAGAGAGAGTGCCAGGGAGGGAGGGGGAGATGGGCCGAGAGAGATTCGGCCCATCGAACCCGGGGGAGGCAAAATAGACTTTTGCGGAGGAATTGATTTGGGAAGGATTTGGATTTGGGATTGAACTCGACGATAGATCGGGGATTTGAGATCTGAGATGGCACGGACACTAGACAACAAGCAAAGAAACAGATTTCGCAAATAGGTTTTTTAAGAGATAGTTTTCCCGCTAGGCGCCACGACGGAACGGGCGCTACAACGTGGAACTTAATATTTTTGCACACGAAAGATTTGGTCAGTTTTTAAAGTAAAGATTTGAATGTAATATGCAGCACTCTATTTACCGGTGGCCATCTGCCGGTTACCTCTTCCGATTATCGCTTCCACACAAGTATAGTAACCGGCCGATGCCTAAATTTGTGTATGCGAGTAGTGAGCAATTTCTTGTTTTCAAAAATGCTGTCACAACATGATTGGTGTTTTTTCAATTGATGAAATAAATTCTGATCTTTGCTTAAAAAAACTACATCTACTTATTACTTGGTTCACTCAACATAAAGCAAACTAAAAATCCTACAACTGATCTAAGACAGTACTAATTATAGCCACTCACGCTGAAGGAGAAAAAAATGTTCTGTTATAAAATCTCTATTCGAAATTAACAAATACTAGCCGACAACCCGTGCAAATTGTTACTAATTTTGTAAGTATAACGTTTTTCTTTGTATTCTAATTTTAATTCACACCAAAGCCTTATTATAATTTTTTGGAGTTTTTTATTAATTTAATTTAGAAATTATGAATTACTAAGTATCAAGAGAGAGTCTTAATTATATTGTTTTTCACCATTTAATAATTTTGAAATCGACAACAAATCAATAGTGAGAATAGTGAGTTGTGTTCTAAATGTACCATTAGAAATGCAAAATAGTGTAGCCTATGACAATAACTAGAGAACACACGAACCAAAACCCAGAAGTATGCATGAAACATTCCCGAGAAAGGCAAAAGGAAGGAAGAGGCGACATCACGGCGGCAACAGCCATCTAGACAAGGTGAACAAAGAACTAATTTACATATCTTCTAGTAACCACTAAGCCTTGTGCTACAATATATAAGTTAGAACATTACGCCACATACTTATAAGAAACAAAGAAAAAAGAAATCTCAAAAGTTTAGGAAGACGAAAAAGAACTATAAATAAAACCTCATGACAAAAAAAAAAGAGAGAAGAAAAATGAAAAAGTCAACATGTCATTTAGTAACAGTTGTGATGTAGAACAGTACTGTGGTTCTATAATGAGACAACAATACCACAATATTCCTTTACATATTTTAATCACATATTGTGTATAATAATAACAAAATATAATTACAGAATTACAAGTCGTACATGGCCTTGTGTTCAACAGAGGAACCAAGGCCAATTATCTGCGGACAAGAATTAGTGATGCTAACAATTGGAGGTTGAGTGTATGAACCCTGTAGCAGGCCAATTGCAATGCCCTTGTATGCAGCTTCTGATGGATGGAAGCCATCCCACGATGCATATTTTGCTGGGTCATCACACACTTTGTATTCGCCATATCCACAGCGTACAGATGCAGATACACCATAAGGTCCTCTTCCACCACAGCAAGCGACCAAAGGATCCTCAATTCCTGAACCGCAGTTTATTAGGAAGTGTTAAACAAGCTACCGACAAGAAAAGTTGTTCTTTATCAATATAGAAAGTAGTGCAGGAGTGCATTCCATAACATGATGAAAATAAAATAGCCAACCTGGTAAATATATGGAGTGAGAGAAACCCAATTTAGATGTTGTGATTGTGGTACAAGCATATTTACAAAAAGATTTCATTTGTTCGAGATTGCCATAGAAGTCAAATTTAAGAGGCCAACAGAAAGTTTTTTTTTTCTTGTAGTTACCTACAAACTATAATTAATAGTATAAAGCTTACAAACAGTAATGAAATAGCTTCACTGACCAAATCGTTCAGGGGAAAGGAAAACTTCCATGGCAGCTCCATAGTAATCGGCATAGATGATGGTCACATCAAGATGAAGCTTGCGCAAGTTTTCCAATTCATCTACAAGAAGTTTGTTGTGGTATTGCGAGAACTCATTCATCCACCTAAGGCAACCTATCTTTGGCTCATAATCTTCCTTCTTATCACTCTCAAATTGCATGAGGTACATTGGAATACATCCAATTGGGATGTTACCGGGAACAACTAGTGTCTTGGCCCCAAGTCCAATCAATTCCTACGAACTCAGCTTTGTTTCATTACAAGCTTTGTAATATTGTATTGTTTTGTGAAACAGGAACTGAAGGTATATAAAATGATGCAACATAGGCATATTACTCACGGTGATTATGGAAGAAATTTTGGCAATGACACTAGGAGTGAAGTTGCGAATCTTTTCAATGGACATGCCGCTCATAAGAGGAAGGTTGTAATCATTGCCTCCGATTTCTCCAACCAAGAAAAGAGATTGATTCATCATGCCCTTGCAACCTGTGCGATAAACATCGTTTAGAATCCGTATGTATGGATAATAATAGTTGAAAGGGACCTTTAACTATCAAAATTGTTGCTTTATATGGTAGAGAAACTATCTTCACCTACTACTTCCAGCATGTCCGTTTATTATCCTATTATAAACTAGACAGATTTTGTTCATTTGTAGCAACACAATCATGAATCATTGACCTGACATATTTGTTTTTTTTTTCAATTTTGTTCTATGCAACCAACTCAAGGGTAAAACAATTGATCACGTGGAAATCATATAATGTTTACCAAATATTTGGCAGTGGCATGGTGTGTATTATCATATACTAGTATACTCAAAATATTGTTAATGATTGTGGTATATCTCCAGGCACGCACCTTTCTAGACAATAAAGCCCCACCTACTAAATAGCAACCGCTACGATTTGTGCTTAGAAAAGGAGAACTGCCACGATCTCTCGTTCAAAACGTCATTGTCAAAGGTGGGTGCAAGGCGAGAGGTGTTTTTTGATTCAAACATACCGTCCATGTCGCCGCCGGTGCAGAGCATGCCGAGCAGATCACGGAACCACTCCATCTCCATGTCGAGGTGCACGGTGTCGTCGTCCATGGGCACCCCTCTCTCCCGGAAGAAGTCCGGGCTGAGCGCCGTGGCGCCGCCCACCGCGAAGTTGGCCCCGCTGGCGAAGTTCCCCGCGGTCTGCCCGCCCCAGTACGGCCGCACGAACGGCAGCCCCATCGCTTCAGCTGCGGCGCGGCGCGACGAGGCGTACCCATGCACACCACGCGCGCGCGAATTATTCCACATCTCATATTAGCAATGGATCGAGCGATCAATCGATATGCAGACGAGGCCTGGATGGATGACGAGGCGTACCGATGAAGTCGATGATGAGGCGGCCGTTGGAGGAGCGGCCGGTGGCGCGGTGGAAGAAGGTCTCGCCGTAGGGTGGCCACAGCGAGGGCCGGCGGGAGTCGTTGCCGTAGAGGAAAGCGATGTTGCCGGTGTCTGTAAGCGAGTCCCCGAAGCAGAACACGCGCGGGTAGCACGGCGCCGCCAGCGCCCGTGACGCCGCCGCCGACAGCACAACCGCCACGGCCAGCACAACCGCCGGCGGCGAGAGTCCTCCGGAAGTAGAGGAGACCATCCTTCCTACACTTTCGTTTCCTTCTGCTCGAGGTGGTCGTCGGGCACGAAGGCGAAGCCGCCACTGGGATTGGCTCTGCGGTGGTTTTTCGCGTTGGCCTAACGTTTTATACTCAAAAAATGCGAGATATTTAACCATTTGCCACATTTAGATGTAGCAATTAATTTTTTACCACTGGACCCATATGTAATAGATATATTTAGACTCACATGTCATTGAGATAGGGATGACAAATAGTTATTTGCCAAATCTAAAAGTGGCAAATAGTTAAAAGCCCAAAAAAAATGCAAATACTCTAATAAACGTGGCTCGTTAATGTTAGTGGGCTCGAATGACGAGTGCCCACAGGTCAGTGGACCTCTGGTCGCTGTTAGCCTGTTACACATGAATGAACGGTGACAGGTGTATGCTCCATCCTCCACTAAATGCACTGTGAAACGCAGTATAAATTAACGTAGACGGTAGACGTTCACGATACTTACACACTCGTCCCTCTAAACATATACATCATTCTCCATTGAGATAATAATTAGTCGTAAATACAAGCACCTATATCAAAAATAGGGTTTAAACTCGAGTGAATTTATTTCATCCACTGCTGAAGAAACCATCTTTATTGGGTTGAGCAAAAACCACAATAGTTAAAGATGATTTTTTTATCCCGGTTTCAAATTTTATCGGCCCTAGGTGATGTTTAGTCCCTGTTGGTATTAGCAACCGGGACCATTTTCTGTCCGAGGCTGTCAGAGGACCAGGCATTTTTAGTTTCGGTTGGTCACACGGTCACACCAACCGGGAATAAAAATTGACTAAAAATCAATATACAGTATATAATCCCTATGACTTATCCCCCGAACTCCTCATCTTCCTATTCCTCTCTCTTATCCCTATCCTCTCTTTCCTATTCCTCCTCTTATCCTTATCCTCTCCTTCGTATTCCCAATTGAGCGTGAGAGTGAGCGAGCTGAGGTCGGCGGACAGCACGAGAGCGAGCGGGTGGAGGGCGGTGGCCGGCCGGCGTGGCAGCAGGCGGGCGTGGAGGGCGGAGTGACGGGCGGACGCGGCAGCTGCGGGTGCGGCGGCGGGCGGGCGCGGCAGGCGGGCAGCGCCTCTGAGATTGTTTTTTTTTTTTGAGAATTTGTGATTCGGATCTAAGATGTATTTGATTTGTGTGTGACGTGAATATATGATGTATTTGTGATGAATTTTTTAGAACTTGTGATGTAATTTTTTTTAAGAATTTGTGATGTATTTGGAGATGATCGATTTGAGGATTTGGAAAATATCCTTTTGCTCTGTGATGTGATGATTGATTTGGGATTTCACGATTTGGGGATGGAGTGAAATCAATATTCAATGTTAAAAACAATGAAAAATAATAATAAAAAAAGCAACCAGACCTAGGACCTAGCCTGGCTCCACTTTTAGTCCCAGTTAATAACACAAACCGGGACTAAAAATAGATTTTTACTCCCGATTCATGGTACCAGTTGTATAGCCGGGAGTATAGGGGGTTCCCAACCAAGACTAAAACCCCTTTCTCCATCAGTGATGATAAGAAACCTAACCAGTTGAGTTAAGCTCACTTCGCAAGGTAGCACACCATTTGTAAACAGATTATTGTCGATCATTATTTTGGACCCAATGATTTGATACTTCCGTATACTGAATTTTTTTTTCCGGCGATGTATACTGAACCATGCATAAGTGAAAATAATTTTGCCCGTCGTTCCTGTTTCTGGCTTTCTGCCACGGTGAAACAGCTCATTGAACGATATATAATGAGGCTTGCAGCAACAAATCACAAAATGATTCCGGCGATGAAGACTCGAGGAGATATAAACGGGAAATAAGTGTAGTTCAACGACAATGACAGTATTTTTGTACTACGTAAATTTTCGTTTCTCTTAGAATGTTAGGTGCAAGGAGAGTAGGTACTGAATTAATGATGTTGCAACAAATTAAATTGACCTGATTGATATATACTGGTGGTTGTGCTATTTATTATCTAATATTTGCGGAGCCATTGTTTATTTGTGGAATAAGCGAAATGGCATATTTGCAAACGAAAAGTAATTTGTTAATAAAACTTTTATATATGTATTCTTAGCGATCTAAAATCAAAGGCTGAAAAATAAACTTCGATAAAAAAACCTCAAAATCAGCTCCAAATTTAAAATTGAAAATTCAAAATTTGGCTGGCACAAGCATAAGCGAAAATATGAGTCCCTTGAAGTGTTTTCGATATTTCAATTTCTTCAAACAATATCCCGTAAATGTTTGACACTGACACTGGTGGAGAAACCATCTTTGGTCGGTCGACCAAATTTCACAATAATCCCGGTTGTATTAAAAACCGAGACTAAAAACATTTTTAGTCCCGGTTTTAAAGCTCTAGGGGTACTTTCCAATCTTTAGTACCAGTTGGTGTTACCAACCGGGACTAAAGATCTATTTGTAGTCCCGGTTGATAACACCAACCAGGAAAAAAGATCGACGTGGAGATCGGAGACGCCTACGCGATCGAATCGAGGTATCTCCTCCTCTCCTTTAACTCCTCCCTCCTCCTCTCCTCAACCTTATCTCCTCCTCTCCTTTTAACTCTCTCCTCAACCTTATCTATTCCTCTCCTTCTCCTCTCTACACAGCAGCGGTGGGGCGAGGAGATGCCAGGCCGGCACGAGGGCGGTGGGGCGCGGAGGGCGGCACGGCGCCCGGCGAGGCGGCGGCTGCCGGCGCGAGGGCGGCGCGGCACGCAGCGCGCGGCGAGGCGGTGGCCGCCGGCGGCGGCCTTTGAGGCGGCAGCCTGCGGCGGCAGGGCGCGGATGGCCGGCCGGCCGGCGTGGCGAGGCGGCGCCTAGCAGTTTTTTTTCTTTCTTTTTTTTTTTTTTGAGAATCTGAGCTGAGATTGTTGTGTGATGTATTTTATTTGTGTGTGATGTGAATATGTGATTGAATTTTGTAGAAGTTATGATGTATTTTTTTAAGATTTTTTGATGTATTTGAGATGATCGATTTGTGGATTTGAAGGCAATTTAAGGATGATTGTTTTGGGATTTTGGGGACGGGATAGGGTTAGGGTGAAATCAATATATTAAAAATAATAAAGAGAAGAAAATAATAAAAAAGCAACTGGATCTGCCTCTTTAGTCCCGGTTACCAACCGGGACTAAAAATCGATTTTTACTCCCGGTTATCTCACCCGGGACTAAAGATAGCGATCTTTAGTTCCGGATTCGTAGCCCCGGTTGGAAAATCGGGACTATATAGGGTTACGAACTGGGAGTAAAAATCACTTCTCCACCAGTGTGACAGGTTTTTTTATGTAAGCTATATGGCACTTGTGATGATTGTGGATACAAATAAGAGTCATGGAACTCACCCAAAATTAGAGAAAGCGCCTGGATTGCATATTTGCATGATCTTTATACAATATCGCTGATAAGAAATGCCTCTACGAGAACGACATCACGGGCGCATCAGCCACGCAGCCAATGTGGCCAAACAATATAGTTGTCTCCTTGTAACCCCTAACCCTTTCACTATACACGGAAGAAAAACAATGGAGCTAAATTATAATAATAGTATACATACCCTATAGCACCGCTGGAACTCAATTTTAGTCTATGTTTGCAACTCTCCTTACTATCGGATTGCAAACTGGGACCCGAATCGGGACTAATGATCCATCTTGGATATTTTGTTTCAGGTAGTAACACCAACCCAAACTAAAAAGTTTTTTTCATTGTTTTTTTGCCGCTTGCGTATTGATTTTCCCTAATTGAGTTGCAAAATCTAAAAAAAAAGCATCACAAATACTAAAAAAAAGCATCACAAATACAGATTCACATCACAGATCAAATACATCATAAATTCTAAAAACAAAATACATCACATCATAGATAATAGGAAAAAGTACGAATTACCCCCCCGAACTATCGCGGTCGTCCGAATTACCCCCTTGAACCACAAAACCGGACATTCTTCACCCCCAACTATGTAAACCGGACGAATTACTCCCCTCGACCCAATCCGCGGTGGTTTTGGTCTACGTGGCATCCCAGTCAGTGTTTTTTAATAAAAAATTGTGGGACCCGCCTGTCATACTCTTCCACTTTCCCCTCTCTCACTCTATCTCACTCTTCATCTGTCTCTCTCACGGATCGGCAGCGACGGGAGACACGGAGGGGCAGGCGGCGGACGGCGGACGGCGGCGCACGGGGGCGGGCGGCGGGCGGCGGACGGCGGCGTTGCGGCGACGGCCGAGCGGAGGCGACTGCGGCGGTGGTTGCGGGCGCGGCGCATAGGGGCGGGGGCGGCTGCGGGCGCGGCGCATGTGGGCGGGTGCGGGGGAGGTCCGGGAGGGAGCAGCGGCGGTTAGGGACACGGAGGCGGCGATCGTGCGGGACGCAGAGGCATCCTCATCCTTGATGTGAATCGGGGCTACGAAGATGACGCCGGCGATGCGGATCGAGCCAGTAAGAAGCTGGCGGTGGCGAGCGAGCCGACGAACTCCTCCTCCGGGAGGGAGCAGCAGCTGCACGGGATGCAGAGGCGGTTGCCTCGCCCGCCTCGTCCGCCTGTCCGCTGTTGCCCGCCTCTCCGCCGGCGCTCGCCTCGCCCGCCTCGTCCGCCTCTCCACCGCCGCCCGCCTCTCTGCCGCCGCTCGCCTCGCCCGCCTCGTCCGCCTCTCCGCCTCGTCCACCATCGTCCGCCTGTCCGCCGCTGCTCGCCTCGCCCGCCTCGTCCGCCTCTCCGCCGCCTCCCGCCTCTCCGCCACCGCTCGCCTCGTCCGCGCCTCGGCCGCAGCCCGCCTGCCTCTCCGCCTCGTCCGCCACCGCCCGCCTGTCCGCGCCATCCGCGCCGACCGCCCCCGCCCACCGTCAGTCGCACCGCCGTGTGCGTCGTCCGCCCTGTCATGCCAATTGCCGAGAGAGAGAGGAGAGAGAGAGGGGAAGATGGGAAGAAGTGTATGACATGTGGGTCTCACAATTTTTTTAAGATAGAATGCTGACTGGACTGCCACGTGTACGCCACGTAGACCAAAACAGTTCTGCATTAGATCGAGGGGGGTGATTTGTCCGGTGTT